CTACGATGGCTGGATCTTCCAGCGGGTCGGCGGCGACCTACGAGCTAGTGTGGCCTTGCCCCGGTGAGCCGGGAAAGGCCCGGTTCGTTCTTCGCGACGAGGAAGAAGTGAGGCTCTCGCACTTGCTCGGGGAGAGAGGACTGTCGTTGGAGTCTGATCTCGCCCATACAAAGGTGAGGCTCAAGGAGGCTCTAGAGAGGGTTGGGCTCGTCCATCAGGCCATGACAGTCGACCTGCCACATGTTGTAGAGGTAAGTTCTCTGCATTTTTGTTATTGTCCTTGATTCGTTGGCCTTTCAATGGTTGTCTTAGCATGTCTGCTTCTTGCTTCACAGGATTTAGAGGCGATGTCGATTCGTAAGTACCAATTTCTTCGGGAGGAGCACGATCGCATAGGGCAGGAAGCAACGGCATCGCGGTGGGTCGATGAGCTCAGGCACCAGCTGGAGTCTGCCCGCCGTGAGTCCCAAGACCGTGTGACCGAGGTGACGGGAGCACGGGCGGCGGAACAACGTGCGGTCGAGCGGGCGACTGCTGCCGAGCGAGAACTCGACATAGCGAAGGTCCACTTGTCCAAGACCGAGGCAGCGCTTCAGAAGTCCCTGGAGGCTCTGGATGTAGAGCAGAAGGCCCAGTTGGATGCTGAACAAGAAGTGGTTGTGCTCCGAGGGTAGGTGCTCGGGGCAGAGGAGTTGAACGCTCGACTGCTCAAGAAAATGACCCAGCAAGAGGAAGGACTCTCCATCCTCGAAAGCGCCTGCCTTGGTATGTATCTGTTCCACCTTCGGTTGATGCCTTGGTTTTTCCTTTCCTTTGCTTCTGAACTTGTCGTCTTCTTCCAGAACTGGGTGAAAAAATCTGCTCTCTGGAGCAGGAGCTAGAGACGGCCAAAATAATGGTTGGTCGGGGCACGGAGGCACTAGCCCGGTCCCTTGAGGAGCGATGCGCTCTCGAGGGAGAGCTCGACCAGATTCGCAACGTCGCTCAGGTGGTCGTCTCCAAGGTGTTCGGGCCGGGACCGAACACCAATATGCCCGCCGTCCAGCTGGCGGAGGTCCCGAACGATGTTCGGGCGCTCATCTCTGACGGCATGTTCTATGGGATGTCGAGGGTGCTGACCTCAGTGGTGACCCATCACCCTGATCTGGACTTTGCCGCCATCTGCAAAGGGTACGCCAACGGGTGGAGCGCAGATGAAATCCATGCACTAGGGGAGAGCTTGGTGCCATATGCTCAGATGGTTGACGAGCAAGTCTCCATGCAGTGTGTGATGGAGGCTCACCGTTCAAGCATGGCTAAAGACGTGAGCCAGGAAGATGTCGTCCAGCCTGTGGAAGGAGTGGAGACCAGATCGGAAGCGAGCGTCGTCCCAGCTCCGACCGAGCCAAACGTCGTCCCGACCGGGAGCGAGCTGCCTTCATCCTCATCGACCATCCCATCAGCCGATGCCGTTGGGGGGCCATAGTAGAGTTTAGAGTAGAAACAGTCAGTATGTGTAAAAGACAAGTTCATGGGGGAGCCCCCGTGTGAACAGTTTTACATTCGTGAATATTTCAATTTCGTTTTGTGATGGAATCACTCGTAAGGGGAAACTTGTCCCATCCGCCCTTTGTTTTACCCTAGCATAGCTTTGTTTTTTGTCCTTTCTTTTTCGCACCTACCCGTTGACTCGTAGGCTGTAACCTTAAGAACCCGGGCACGTCCTGCAAGGCTCAGCTGCTCATAACCGTAGGTCATGGCGGGGTGTGATCGGTTGGGAGTTTAAATCAGAAGTTACGTAGGGTAATCAAAAGGAACGGAATGCCCTTTCGTTTGGGCGACGCCCTTTCGTTTGGCGAAAAAGTATTACTATATGATAGTAAAAAAGGAGGGTGGTATCGCACCCCCGTGGAGCCCCCGAGTGACTCAGGCCGAGAGTGCTCAGGCTAGGGTGCTGTAGGAGCAAACGTTGAATGGAAGGAAAATGTAAGACCGAGCTTTAGGGGAAGAAACAACGTAACTGTTCGATGTTCCATGTGTTGGTGAGAACGTTGCCGTCATCGTCCTTCAGTCGATAGGCGCCCGGTTGGATCACCTTGGTCACCGTGTAGGGTCCTTCCCACGGTGGAGAGAGTTTGTGTTTCTCTTCGGTTGACTGGGTTCTCCGGAGCACGAGATCACCCACCTCGAGGATCCTCCCCCTGATTTTTCTTTCATGATACCTACGGAGAGTTTGCTGGTAGCGAGCAAAGCGGATGACGGTCGTCTCACGTGCCTCTTCGAACAGGTCGACCGCATCCTGTTGAGCCTCCGTGGCTCGGTCTGGGTCGAAAGCCTTCACTCTTGGGGCGCCATGATCGAGGTCGGAGGGCAACACTGCTTCAGCTCCGTAGGCCAGGAAGAAAAGCATGAACCCCGTGGATCGGTTCAGGGTCGTTCTCAGGCTCCAGAGAATCGCTAGGACCTCTGTGACCCATCGCTCGGCATACTTATTGAGTCGGTCGAAGATGTAGGGCTTGAGTCCTTGGAGGACTATGCTATTGGCCCACTCGACCTAATCGTTAGTACACGGAGGTCCGACCGAGGCCCAATCAATTATGATGTCGTATCCATCATAGAAGTCCAGGAACTTCTTCTCGGTGAAGTTTGTTCCGTGGTCGAAGATGATACAGTTTGGAACACCAAACCGATAGATGATGTTGAGGAAGAATTTGACCGCCTCCTCCGAGCGAATGTTGGTGATGGGCTTTGCCTCTATCCACTTGGTAAACTTGTCCACCACTATGAGCAGGTGAGTGAAGCCGCCCGAGGCCTTTTTGAGGGGTTCGACCATGTCGAGGCTCAGACCGCGAATGGCCAGGTGATGGGGATGGTTTGAAGCCCCTACGTCGGCAAATGAGTTTGCCGAACATAGAACTGACATCCCTCACACCTACATATGACCTCCTCTGCATCTCATAGTGCAGTGGGCCAGTAAAAACCTTGACGGAAAGCTTTTCCAACCAGTGACCTTGGGGCCGCGTGGTGTCCACAGATTCCAGCATGGACTTCGAGGAGAAGCTGTTTCCCTTGGTCGGTCGGGATGCACCTCATGAGTACTCTCGACGGGCTCTGCTTGTAAAGTTCATCATCAATGGAGACGAACGTCTTGGCACGTCGAGTGATTCATTGTGCTTTAGTCCTTTCCGATGGGAGAACCTCCTCAAGGAGGTAGGCGAGCAGTGGTGCTCTCTAGTCGACCAGATCGAGTGCCATTATGGTGATGTCGGCAGGTGATGTTGCCATAAAGGCGCCCGGGTCGGAGCCCCCGAGCACTTGGTCGGGGTTGGTCGCGTCGAGAGGTTGGAGCCCCTGGGTGCCAGATTGGTGTCAGAGTGGGTCTGGATTGAATCCTCCAGAACATGGGTAGACGGCTCATGGAGGTCATTGATGAAGACCCCATCTGGAGACGAAACCCACCTGACAACCAATTTTGCGAGGAAATTGGCGGCATCATTGTCCTTTTGGGGGACATGATGTAGTTCGATCCCTTGGAACTTGTCCTCGAGCTTGCGCACCTCCTGGCAGTATGCTGCCATGAGAGGGCCCTTGCTAGAGGACTCCTTCATGACTTGGTCGACGACCAACTCCAAGTCACCACGGACGTACAGCCGCATGGCGCCGAGCTCGACGGCGATGCGGAGTCCGTTGATGAGGGCCTCGTACTCCACGGCGTTGTTTAAGGCTAAAAAATGAAGACGGATCATGTAGCGAAGCCTGCACCCATCCGGGGACATCAGAACCACTCCAGCCCCCGTACCAGGCACCATGACCGACCTGTCGAAGTACATCGTCCAGTACTCGTGGGTGACGTCTGAGGTCGGGAGCTGGACTTCTGTCCATTCGGCGATGAAGTCGGCGAGAGCCTGAGATTTAACAGTAATGCGGGGGATATACCTAATGTCGTGGCCCATGAGCTCGATAGCCCACTTAGAGATCCGACCCGCGGCGTCGTGGTTGCGAACGATGTCTTCGAGCGGGTATGAGGTGATGACCATGACTTCGTGGTCGGTGAAGTAATACAGGAGCTTCCGAGTTGCCATCAGCATGGCGTACAGAAGCTTCTACCCCTAGGGGTATCAAGCCTTAGCGTCGGTAAGTACCTCACCGACGAAGTACATCGGTCGTTGAACCTTCAGGGGGCGTCCTAGCTCCTCCCTTTCGACGACGAGGGCGGCGCTCACAACGTGGTTGTTTGCCGTGATGTAGAGGAAGAGGGGTTCTCCCTGTTCGAGAGCGGCGAGGATTGGGGCCGACGTTAGTGATGCTTTGAGGCTCTCCAAAGCCTGCTGTGCCTCCTCAGTTCAGACGAATGTGTCTGTCTTCTTGAGAAGTTTATAGAGAGGCCTCCCCTACTCGCCTAGTCAGAAGATGAACCGGCTCAGGGCGGCCAAATAACCGGTGAGCCTCTGTACGCCCTTGACGTTGCGTATAGGGCCCATGTTGGAGATGGCCTCAATTTTTTTAGGGTTGGCCTCGATGCCACGTTTGAACACGACGTATCCGAGCAGCTTCCCCTTCGGAACCCCAAAAACACATTTTTTGGGATTCAATTTGACGCTGAACCTTCGGAGGTTTGCGAATGTTGCGGCCAAGTTTGCGACCAGGTCGCTAGCTTGAGCCGTTTTCACCACTATGTCATCTACATAGATGGCGATTGTTGGCTTTGGCCGCTCGACTTGGTTAGGCTGGTCGGGTGGGTCGATTTGGTCGGCGAAGCATCGCTGCATGCACTGTTGATAGGTGGCGCCAGCGTTCTTCAAACCGAAAGGCATGGTTACGTAGCAGTATGATCCATAAGGGGTGATGAATAAAGTCGCGACCTGGTCGGAGTCTTTCATCACGATATGGTGGTAGCCAGAGTAGGCATCCAGAAAGGAGAGGATTTCGCATCCTGAGGTGGAGTCAACTATCTGGTCTATGCGTGGCAAAGAAAAATGGTCCTTTGGACATGCCTTGTTGAGGCCACCGCATCCCCGCTCATGGACCCGGAGGCCGCCGCCTTCGCCTCCGCGCGCGGCGGCGGGCGCGTCACGGCCGGGTTCGTGATCTGCTTCCCCAACTACTCCACTTTCCTCTCCAAGCTCGGGCTCTACGTGGAGGACATCTTCGTGCGCGCCCCATGGTGCCGTCGCGGACTCGATCGGATGATGCTGTCTGCCGTCGCCGACAGGTCGGCCGAGCTCGGTATGGGCCGGGTGGAGTGGTGCGTGCTCGACTGGAACAAGAACGCCATCGACTTCTACGAGGGGATGGGTGCCGATGTGCTCCCACAGTGGCGCATCTACTGGCTCGTCGGCGCAGCGCTGGACAAGTACAAGGGCAGCCAGGAGGAGGCCACCGGTGGGAAGGCTGCAGAGTAAGGAGGACCTAAAAATTTCTTCTGGAGTGCTTGCCAATAATAAAGGTGGTGGATTTGCTTCCGCTACTTAGCTCCCATCTGCCATGGTTTAGATGCGATTAGTGATTCAGTGCATTTAATTAGCTCATTAGGGCGATGGGCAATCGGGATTTGTTGTTGTGGTATAAACCTTGGTGCATTGAGCTAAATTATCTTCTGATTAGATGCACAAGAATGTCTTTATGATGAGCCATTTCAGCCTGAACATGCCTCTTCCTTGTCGATCAGAGTCTCAGAGCTGCTTGAAATGATTCTTGCTTGACCTGGGGAAATTTTGTGACAGAACCGCCCAATTTATACAAGATCAAGTACGGCTGTCCCCGCTAACATGTTGACACGCGCATACTTTCACTTATATAAACCCGGTAGTTCGCCGAGTGTCTCGAAAGACCTCGGTAAATCAACATCACAACCAAGATCGCGTGATTAAGCAAATACACATCACATACACAAAGTTGCAGCAGAAATAATGTTACAAAGGGGTTCACAAATAATAGTACAAGTTTGGGTTTTAAAACCAATTATTGAAAACAACATAGCTTTCAAATGATTACATTAATATAAGTTCCAAATATATTGCTAGCATAAGTGACATCCTCAGACAAAAGCATATAGATGAGAAGTAAATATAGAATCATCGAGCCCACCGGCGGTTAGCCACCATCATCAACAGGTCAAGAACTTCACCTGCAACAAGGTGGGATAAACCCTGAGTACTTGAATGTACTCAGCCAGACTTACCCGTCGTAAACCAGAAATAAAGTGACATCAAGGATTATGCAAGGCTTTCTTTAGTGGGCTAGCTGACTGGTTTGCGAAAAGTATAAGCGATCATGAAGAAACCATTTTAAGTACTTTGCATCATCTTTATTATAACCTATCCATCTAGGTAAGCACATGTACTATAGCAATCACTTTAACCAATAACATCCAGTTACCAATTTAGATTTAGCATATCCCATACTATCCAGATAACCATCATTGTTCCATAATAATTACTACGATGAAGTAACTCAAGTCAAGTGTTCACTATCCAGTGAACGATGGTGATTCGAATCGATTATTAACCAGCTGGTAATTTATTCCTTACACAAACCTCACTCACCCGCTAAAGTGAGGTATCGGCCACCGAGTCAACTACCCAGGAAAAATCTCGAGTTTGCCAGGAACCACATGTACCCGGGGGCGACCGACTGCCTTTCGGTCTTATCATCGTTCCCCCGTGTCCTACCACACCTATTCCGGTACAGTGCGCTGCGGGCAATCTACTCGGCCTGAATAATCTCCCAGCTTCGCGGTCGAAAGGTACTTTATTCGGCCAGCTAAATGTAAGGCATGCGTTCAACATGACCTGAGGGCCAACAACAGTCGGTCCTTAATCGACACAGATGGAAACTAACAGCACCCCAGAACCCTGTCTGGTTGCCTCCAACTTTTCCGTCCGGTCTCCAATTATCCATCACAGAGGGTTAATTCTAGGATATCATTCTTTCCATAGCTAAATTCTTCCAGTAACCACCTATAATGTAGGTGACCGGATATCACCGATCGCTACCGGTCTAAGCAAGGCTAAGCAGTTATTCGATCCTGACCTAACAGGGTAAAAGGAAATAAGGTAGGCAAGGATAGTAATAAATGCATCAACGGTTTCAATCAACTCCTACAACTTAATGCAACAATATATAAACTCATATATAGGAATAATTGCTTTTATAAAGTAGGAGACTTAGAATGCTTTAGGGCTTGCCTGGGATCCGACACAAGTCAGTTCAGTTAGCTTGCACCGTCCTGGTGACATCTCTGGTCCTAGCACTTGCTTAGTCCTTCCATCTTCGGGATAGGTCCACCATACACCGTCTTCGGGTTCGGCTCCAATCTCACGTCCTTCACGTGGTTCATCTAGCGCACCTAGATGAGATGCAAGATGCATGTGTATGAATGTGATGAATGATAACACAAGATGCATCACATAAGCATTCAAGACAAACCAGTTATTCACGGCAATCATAGAGTCAAGGCTGCAAACAGCAGCAACTAATTTTACTCATAATAGGAGTTGTACTAATCCAAAAGACATGCAACAAGACAATCTGGAAATCTTATGAAATTTTCTACAATTCATCTTTAATCATCTTAGCATGATTCTCAAGTTAACTAAGTAAAATATACCCATTTATAGAAACTGGTCCACAATTGACAGAAAGCAGTCATTTCTGAAAGTCAACTTTAAACAGGCATAACTCACAAACCACAAGGCCAAATACCACCAAATTTTAACAGAAGCTAGATACATGAATTATCTACAACTTTGTTATTCTCATATTAAGATGATTTTACAGTTAGAAGGGTCAACTAATCCAATAATTGCATCTCTGTCCAAAACATAGACAAAAACTGACATGCCACTTTAAACAGCTATAAATGGAGTTATACATGTCCTATAAATGTGATTCTAGACTTTTTAGAAAGCTTAGCAAATTCTAAACAACTTTGTTGTAAACACCTAAAGCTAATTATACAATTAAGAAGGCCCCACAGTAAGAACAAGGAAACCCTCTCTAGGTTTGAGCAGAAACAGCCACAGAGATTTAAGCAAGTATAACTCAAGATCTACTTAACCAAAAATCATGATATTTATCTTTTTGAAAAGCTTAATAAAAGTACTACAACTCATGTATTATCATAAAGTCATGATTCATAACTTAACTGAGCCAATTAATACAAACATGTAGGACTACTCAGAATAGGAGCAAAGCAACACAAGGAATTTGTTATTTTTATAACTCTTAAACCATCAACCCTAAACTCCTAAAATTTTTACCAAACATCAAACATCACTAGAGTAACACTCCATAAAAATTTCACATTTATTTGAGCATAAAAACTGCAGTTATGAACAAGACAAGACATGGCAAGTAACAGGAACCAAGCTGCATAGATCTATTTTTACAGCAAAATATTTAAACTAAAACATGCCACATTATAGATCTACTGCATAGAAAATTTCACAAGGATTTCAAAAAGTACTCATTTTCTATTTTATGATTTTTGTATGAATTACTATGAATTTTCAAAGTGGAGCATTCAAATCTGCAAAAAATCAGAGAAAGGAATTTTAAATCTTGCATCGAGGTACCTGGAATTTACACAAATTAAACCCGACAAATATATCCTTGCTGCACTATTCATTAGAGTCACTGTCTATTCACTTAACCCCCTCCCTTTGTTCAAATTTTTGCGTGAAGTCCCTAGCCTTCTTCATCCGGCCGAAAGCAGAGCAGTTCGCCGGCGCTCGCGTTTCCGGCCGCCGTGGTGCTCGCAGGAGGCAAAGGATGGGTGGAGGAGCACCAAGGGACCACAACGAACCAACGGGGCTGTTTTACATGGCCCGAATTGGGCTAGGGTGGCCTGGCCACGGCAGCGGCGAGCTCGGGCACTCCTCGGCCATGGCGGCGTCCGCGCACGACCGGCAGTGCAGCGGCGAGGCTAAGAGGCAGTGGCGGTAGACGGCACGAGCGTGGAGCTAGGCATGGGGAGGCCGAGGGGCAGCAGCACCTATAGCAGCAGTGGCAGCTCGAGCTTTGCCGCCCGGTAATGGCGGCCATGGCCGCAGCTCAGCGCAGAGCGGCTGGCGAAGCTAGGAGCAACAGCGTGAGAGAGAGGGAGGCGTGGGGCAGCTCTGGCGCACGGTTTTGGAGAAGCAGAGGGCGAGGTGGCGCGTGGCCGGAGGTGGGACGCGCGGCAGCGGCGGGGGGCGCATGGCGGCCACGTTCACAACACACGTCGCCATTCGGGCATTTCCCCGAGCACGTGGCGGGCGTCGGTGTGGGCAAGGTGGGCGCCAGATTGGGCTAGATCTGGGCCGATTTAGACCTCGGGCCCAAAACAAAGTTTGAAGCCCGCGAACTGCTCTACATTTTCTATTTAAAGTGTACAGTCATTAGAGTTGTAGATTAGCGGTTAATCAAGTCCAAAGTTGACACTATCAACATGTTGACAGCGGTTAAGTAAACGCAAAAATTGATCATCCAACCAAAGTCAAACTAGTGCTATGTTTTTGCACGCTCTTCTCCACAACGTATACTCCAACTTTTATCTTTGGACCAAATCGAGTTGCTTAACGAATACACGAGAACGCGACATGCCAACACCGATGACGATGAATTCCTTAGAATAATTCTAAGTCTGAAAACAGCCGCTGATTCCATCTTCGAGCCTCTGTTTGACTTATTTCCAAGTTGATCTAGCTCTTGGTCCAAAAACAAAGTTTGTTATACATAACATGGACTACAACTTTTATTTAGGTTCCACTGCCATGGAAACACTATGAGCTACAGTTCAAACAATGTCAACGCAGCATCACGATAAAGCTTAAATTACCCTTTTCGATCTATTGGAGAATTTTCTGGCCACTTGCTCAACACGAACCCTTCATAACTTTTGTTCATGAGTTCATCTAGAGTCATTTGGGCATGGTTGCAAGATTTGGTTGACGATCGAGAATTCCATTCACTTTATAAAATAATTCAAGCAAGGACATAACTCGTCATTTCATGTGACTTCTTGATTTCAAATTTCACGAAACTTTCCCATGGATCAATATAGATGGGTATTGATGTGAGACATATGAAGATATTTCAATAACACCAGCCAAACATATATTTTGAAAAGGGCCTATATGTAAAGCAAGGGTGCAATATCCAAGTTTAGTTTGGGGCTCATTTCCATAGGTTTGACCTTGACATCTTCATCATCACTTAATATGCCATGTTTGAGCTCAAACCCATTGCTTAACTGGTGACAAACACCTGGGGTGTTACAAATTCCATGATCTGTTTGAGTATCTCAATTTGGATAAAAGTACTTTGCATATTCCAGCTCGTGCTGGTCACTCTTTTCTTTTCTTTTTGCGAATTACACAGTACGGACACAGACGCTCACAATGCACGTACACTCACCCCT